CCATTTTCATCATGTAATCTTTAGCTATGAACATTGTTCTAGAGATACAGGTATGTCATTTACTTCAAAATAATGATGGCAAATGGAATGAAAAATTGAAGTGTACTTCATGGGTGGGTATTTCACTTACCAGTCAGGAGTTTCCTACATCTTAAATAGGAGTACTTTGGTTGATTTGCTGGTTTTGGCTCCTACCTCCAGCGTTCTGCTAAAGGAGACCTTGGGCAGCAGTAGTGAGTCAGGTGTCTGTGTTCCTACCAACCATGCTGGAGATGTGAGTAGTGCTTCTGGTTCCCAGCTTCACTTGGGCGTAGACCCAGCTATTGTGCACACTTGGAGCAGCAGACGTAACCTCTATCTACCATTGACTATCTCTGTAAAAAAAAAAAAATACAAAAGATAGGTTTATTTGCACGCAAAACAACTTTGGTAACCATGCATAATTATTTCAGAGTATATATTTTTTGTTGTTTTGGGAAAAACTCTTGTATATTAGAAATACATAAACACTGGAATATTTCATTTAAAAAAGATGACTTAGGGGAAAGATAATGAGGGAATGAAGCAAGAATCTGAAAGCTAAGTTAGAAGTGAAATACCCTGAAATAGACAAAATATGATAGAGATGTGAATGAGAAAAAAAATAGAATGTTTATTTCTGGGAGCCGGTACAAAAAGCACAGGATTTATTGAGAAAGATAACTGTGTCTTCATATTTGGATGTAGACAAATATGGGCTAAAACCTGTGTGCCAAGCACAAAAATCAATTCAAGCTCAGTGATAAGACATAAATAAATGCATGTATGACAATGAAATTTTATGGGAGAAAAGGAGTGAAAATGAAGATGGAACTCAGATTACCAGTGCACATAAGAGGTAGCAGGAATCAGGACAACAGAACTCATAAAAAAAAAAAAAGCAAAAAGAGCAGGACAAATATGTAAAATTGATTACTAACCATTCAAAAGATTTTATTTTCTCTCATCATATCATTGTCTCATATAAATCTCATTGGGAAAATTTCTTAGTTTGAGAACTTCTGATTGATTCTATGTACAACAGTAATTCAAAAAGCTCATCTTATTTTAGCAAATATTTTTGTGGTTGCTGCAGTTTTCTTATAATTTTCATTTTTCTTGAACCTTTAGAAAGTGTTTACATGCTGCGTTGTAACCTGAATAGTTTTATGTATGTCTACCATTTCTCTATATTCAGCAACAGACTTCTGGTCATCTGAAAAATATTTGCTGAATACCAAATACAAGGATGTATTATAGCAGTGACAAGCTGCCATCCAAATCCATACACTTATTCTATATATATGTTCCATATATCCCATGATACTTATGCAGTATTGTTTTAATTTTTGAATGGATTTATGACCCAAAGTGTCAGTGGTTTATTTGTCTCTGATAAAGTTTATGACCTTTTTAAAAGATTTACTTATTTATTTGAAATGTAGCAGGGAAGGAATGGGAGAGAAGGAGAGAGAGAGAGAGAGAGAGAGAGAGAGAGAGAGAGAGAGAGAGAGAGCTGTCACATCCCAAATGGTTGCCCTCTGTGAGGGCTGGTCCAGGTTGAAGGCGTGAGCATGGAACTCTATCCAGTCACCATAGCAAAGACCTGGATTTGAAGAGGAACAGCCAGGATCATACTGTGACATGACATGCTGAAAGTACAGACAACAACTTAATTGGCTGTGCCACAACACTGGCCCTAGTAGACAAAGTTGAACAAGCAAACGTGATATGCAAACTAAATGATTGTACATAATGTATATGTATTATGTAGTGAGTTTGAAACACGTCAGGTACAACCACGTATGCTTTTCTCTATACATAGCAAATGACTCCCCTCCACCCCAAGTCATCAACGTTGAGTGTACAAATGATATCACAGAAATACAGTGCTTTTTTTTTGACTATCCCATTCACTGAGAAGATTTAAAGTCTTGCTGAGGTATACATTTATTTGAGGCTTCTGGGATGTGTGTCATTTACACTTATAACATGTGTCAGTACACATCCTTCTCATGTCCTGAAGGTGCATTTCCCTGGCATTGTCCCAGGTCTGTTGAACTGGAGAGTTCTGAGAAAGCATCTTGCCCCTGTTCAATCCTTTTGCTTTGATGAGGTATTACAGGTTCTTATGAGCTTATTGAATATTGGATGTCCTATTAAGTTTCAAACCAACTTGATGTTCCAAGGGCAAGTGTGAGAGAAAATTTCCTTTTTACCGTTTCTTGGATCTGCTTGACGGGTTTTCAATGCATTTATATATGGGAGGTGTTGCTCACAAAGGTATGCTGATTGTACCACAATGTTGAAGAAAGATTTTAACGGAGTGACTTTTCTTGAATTAGATTATTTTCAATTCTCTACCAGAATTGAGACACAAATACTGGGGGCTTGGAGTGACAAAAATAAAGATCCAAGGATCTGCATTATACTGTCCTCCTAGTTTCTCATAATGTGTGTCTGGGGCCCCTTCTTTGGAGAAGATATAGCTGAGTTGCTGTGTTTGCTGGTGATGAGTTCTCCCAGAAAACCCCTTCAGACAAACTACATGCTTCACTGCTCTGGTTGATATTCTTCATCCTGGTTGTGAGCATAACTAAGGCTGAGGAAATCATTTTTTTGTGTTTGCATGAAAGTCAGGATGAAGCCACAAGAGAGCAAACAACAAATTTCTCCATTCAGTATTCTCCACACTTCTCAACAGAGAAATATCTATCTTGGTATGTTACATATTGTCACATTTAGTTCATGGTGAGGAAATGTTGTTCATGGAGCCCATGCCCGAGGAAAATTCGAGATTAGAAAATAACTCAAGATCCTGCTCATGGAAACAGAATGTAAGAACTGATTCAAGTCTGTTCTAAAATCCATTCTCATGCTCACTTGGAGCTGTCTTCTGAAGAGTGCTCTGTAAAATGTCAATGAGAGGGAATTGCATGATGAAATATGAAATAAACACCCACAAGAGTCTAAACATGACCAATTTGTATCAAATTCCATGTGGCAGTGGTTTACACAATTGTGAAGATGGGCAGCAACTCAAGTCTGCAAGGTTTTGAGCAGGTCATTAAACTCTGTGCCTTCATCTCTCAGTCTGCTAACTTCTTAGGGTCTGATGGGAGTGGGATGAATTAAAGCATACTGATGCATTGCTTCAAACCATTTTGAGAAGTTCATTGTGATTATTCCAGGAGCAAATATAGAGTGTAATTACATGAATTAAACAGATGTGAAGAAAGTTTATGAGACCCTGCTGTCATCAGTGCTATTGTATAGGTTGACTGAGACATCATTCCAGAGAGCATGCCAGTGTAGAAAGTGGAGAGCAATAGGACCTGGAACATTTTAGATCTATCTAAGTGCTATTATCATTTGTTTTGATTGTGTGGAAAAGAATTTGGGCCCTGAATACTGATTCATCATGTTTCTTCCCCTCTAGATGTCTAATGCACTTCTTTTTCCTGTAGGAATTTAAAGCTAATGGAGATCAAAGCACCTGATTGATTACTGGCAAATCTTGATTAGGGCATGATTCCAAAACCAAAATGAGGCTACCTCACTGAACAGAACATAGATTTAGTCAGTGATGGGACAACTGGGAAATGTGAGATGTCTTCTGTTTGGAGTATAAGAATATATGATGGCAGGTTTGGGAAAATGCCCATGTTCATTTTTTATAAATGCATACATTTATAAGTAAAAGTATGAATGTATACATGTATGCATATTATAAAATGGCCAAATATGAGTTGCTTATGCCCTGATGTGTTCAATCCTTATAATTAACAACTCTTGTTCCTCATAGGTGGCATGAACATGTAACATGCTGATGACACAGTAAAGAGAGGGACAGGACAAACAAGTGAGGCGGTCAGCATTGTGCTGTAATGAGCTAAGCTGTCGCCTGTGACGCTGGCATCATGCATGTGTGTCTGTTCATGTCCTGCCTTTTCTGCTTCTCATCCAGCTCCCCATTAATGTCTTGGGAAAAGCAGAAAAAGTAGTCCAAGTGTTTGGGCTCCTGCCATCCATGTTAGAGAACCAAATGAAGCTCCTGGCTAGTAGCTTGAGCCTGGTCCAGCAGAGTAGGTCAGGAATGAACCAGTAGATTGAAGATGGAATCTCTCTCTCTCTTTCTCATTCTCCATAAATCTGAATTTCAAAATAAATGCACTTAAAAAAGGAACAAGTGAGAGGACACCACACAGAGCAGTTATCATCTCAACAGTGAAGACACACATTCAAGCGCTTTCCATTGAAATGGTCTAAATGCTTGAGTTCTCATCCTTTGTGTTTGTTTTAGTAGGTTTCACCTCACTGCTTTCCCTGACTTTCTGTGATGATAGACAGTATTCATGAACAACCACAATTTGAAAAGTGTCCTGTGAGGTCAGCCCAGCAGTGTAACAGGCTAATTCTCTGTATGTTGTGCTGGCATCCCAGATGGGGTCCAGTTCTACTCCCAGTTGCTCAGCTTCCAGTCCAGCTTCTTTCGTATGGCCTGGAAAATTAGCAGAGGATGTACCAAGCCTTGGGTCCCTGAACCTATCTATGGGGCAGAACCGGAAGAAACTCTTGGTTCTTGGTTTCAGACTGTTCATCATGCTGGGAGAGATCTAACATATGAAAGACCCCTCCCCACCCCCCGCCTCGTTCTCTCTCTCTCTCTCTCTCCCTCTGTCTCTGACTTTCAAATAAAAATAATAAATCTTTGCTGGGGCAGAAAGTGTTTTTTTGGGTGCTATTAAGGCAGTGAAAAATTTGACATGGTTTTCAACTCATAGAATGAGCTTGAATCTCTATTATTACAATATACATAGAACAAAATAATGCATCTCATAAACACAGCACTTAAAGTATCTGAAAACCCAGTGATAGCAAATTTCATCCCTAGATTTGGAAATAGCAACATATAAGAAAAAAAAAATTATGGCAAACTGACATATAATATGAAAAGAAAGCTGCTTAGAATAAAGGGAACATTTTAAACATAATGAAATGGAACACACATTTTCAGTTTCAGGATGTGGTTTGTGACAACAGTGGTGGAAGATAATACTGTAGGCACAGGAAGTAAGTTCACGTTGCATAGGGTTGAGCTAGAAAGTTTAGACAGCCTTCGGATGACCCCAGATGATCAAATGAAAAACAAGTTACAAAAAATAGCATTTATTCCTCTGGAAATCACAAAGCCACCAAGGAGTTCATAATTTATTTGTGATTTTCACAATGACCTTGCACAAATGGAATAGCTCTTACAGTTTTAAAGTAGGTATCTTTTAGTCTGCTAAGGTCTAAATATCACATGACAAATGGAGCAAGAGATTTAGGGAATGTTATTATTTTAATATTTTAAGTTATTTTATTTAAATAAAGTATATAAGTTACATGTATTTTACTATATAGATTTAGAAGTGATATTTCTCAACCTACTCACATTCTCCATGCTCCTTATTTCTTTTAAATTCATACAGTGGCATACTTTCTGCAATTTTAATGAGTAAGTAGAGACAGAAAATTTAATTTCTTCTTTACAACTAAATATGCATAAGTGCATTTTAAATTAAATTTATTTTATGCAAGTGATTTTGGAGAAATAAGTAATCTCTTATTTATCACAGTATTTTCTGTGACCCTTTCCAAGGTGAAAATTCAGAAAGTCCTTATTATTGCTATAAAATTACTTTGCAATCTAAAAATATTACATAAACAAATGACAAAAATATATAAAAGCCTAACTTTAAGTAAGAAAATAAATTCTCTGTAGTAACATGTTTTGTAACATTTCATCTGCTCTTAGTTTTGAAAAATGTGGAGATTTTGGTAAAGCAGAATGTAATATCACCAGAGTGTTTCAGAACAGACAGTACAATGAGCTGTATGTCTCTGCATTCATGATGATCGTTGTATCCTTTGAACTATCATTCCCTGTAGCTAGCGACACCAAGATAAGGAGTATAGACTGTAGCAGAGGTCAAATGTTGTTATGTATCAGTGAGTTACTGTTTGATGCTTGTTCCACTTTAAATGGAGGATCCATTCCCTAAGCTCTCTCCCTCCCCATTTGCCTTGGGACATAAATTGTAGGACGGTTTATATTATGTGAGTACAACATTTCTTAGGTTCTCTTAACAAAGTGAATTATTTTCTAGGACATGTTTTCCAGTGATCTTATGTGAAGTTCTGTGATACCAAGCCTCATTCGGATGTGAGTCTCTTTACACTGGGAGTAGAGCTGAGATGCTTCATCGGGGGAAGTGTAGCCTAATGCTCTATTACCATGCTGCTGCTGCTTTGCCAGTTTTCTGATGTTAATATATTTTAAATTTCACTATTTAACCAAGATTAGCAAAGCGAAGATGAACAGTGCAATTGTGATAATAAAATGCCAGATGGCACAATCATCATTAAATTAATGTAGTATTTTATTTTACTTTGTTTTATTTTGGATTTTATGATAGGCATTTTGGTGCTCTATAATTCTGAAATTTTTACAGCTGTTGTTGTCAAATTTTGCTAGCTTTTTGATAAAGTCATTTGTGCTTTAATGTTCTGATGGCCAACCTCAAACATATTCTCACTTTTTGCCAAGTTATCTTTATGTTCTATTCAATATAAATGAGGATTACTTTCATTAGATTGCCTTCAAAAAGACTGGTAAATTCATAGTCGACCATGATTCATGGCATCCTTGGTCTGATTATTCATGCCACATTATTCCTCATTCTCCGTAATGTACCCGTAATTTCCTCATGAACACAACATCTAAAGGCAATGCTTAATGGTGTGCATCTGATCTTCAGCTTTTCACTTCACATCTAAAGTTTTAGGATTCTATAAGCAACAACACAGATAATTCTGTCACATTATCAGCATCATCATTACTATTTTACAATTCATTCAAAATGATTCAATACAATTCGTTGCTTTGTCTGTCTCCTACTCCTAAATCAGGAAGACCCCACAGCATCTAGGTTCGCACATGCATGCCCAAACATGACACAAGATTAATTCAACTGCATCCGCTCTGTGCATTCTCATCTCTTTCATTTTATTTACTCTAGAAATAACGTATTTTTAAATCAGGATCAGATCATGTGTGAACTGAAACAAACTCTTAACTCACTTACAGCTGCATGTACCACTTAATCTGTTTCACAGGCACCTTATTTCCTGAACGTATCTTCTAAAGGATGTAAGGAATTTGAAGTATTCCCTCAGCTTGTTCATCAACATTTCCCTGAAATGGTCCCCCATAAGGAAATAGAAGACAGGGTTGATGACGCTATTCAGGAAGGCCAGTGGCCGAGTCACAATGTACAAGGTGGTGATGATGACCTCAGCGCACTGGTACTGCTGCCAGGACCGCAGCCTTGAAGCAATCCTCACGTTCCGCATGATGTGGTAGGGTGTGAAAAGCACGGAGAAGATCACCACGGCCATGACCACCAAGTTAAGTGGCTTTTCAAGGGGCAAAGCAGTACTGATCTGCCTGCTCCAGTGCTTTAGAAAGCAGACGATTTTGTAATAAAAGAAACACATCACGAGAAGAGGAACGAGGAAGCCCAATATGGTCAGACAAATGCTGTAAATGAGGTTGTATTCAGGGTCGCCGGAACTTGCATAATCATTGCAGTTGGTGGCGTTGTTGGTTACAATAGGATTTATAAGAGGGAGAATAGGCAGTAACTCTAAGGTAACTAAAATCCAAATGGCCAAAGAGATTAAAACGGCCAGCTCTTTTTTTTGCAGAAGGTGCTCTCGGAAAGGAAACTTCATGAGCAAGTATCGATCGATGCTGATGAACGTGAGGAAGAGAATGCTGGTGTAGAGGTTGGCGTGAAGGAAGTATCGGTTGCTTACGCAGAGCACATTTCCGTATACCCAGTCTTCATTGGCATAGCTTCTCATCAGCATGGGGAGGGTGCACAAAAATGCTAAGTCGGAGATGGAGAGATTGAAGAGATAGATATTACTGCTATTCCAGCTCTTCAGACAGAAGAGATATCCAAAAACAACAGTTGTGTTCCCAAGGAGTCCCAAAATAAACTCAATCCCATAAAAGATGGAGAGATAGTACTTTGCCAGAGAGGCCTCTGCTGCCAGCCAATTTTTGCAAGTTTCATTCCATGCCTAAAGAAGAGAGAGAAAACATAAAGGTGAAACATTCAATTGTGACTAGTGACAAACTATAGTATATAATCATTGGAAGGAATACTTCCAAGTCAAGGATAACAGGTTACATGAGTAAGGAATATGTACACACACAATGCATATACATGTAATACATATAATATATATATGCATATGTGTGTGTGTGTGTGTATGTCAGGGGTTTTTAAAAAAGTTTTTGGGAAATACATTGTGAAAATAATGTGTATGGATTTCAATTTTATTTTACATCAAAATAAACTTGTCTTTTAATTCCATTGCCATAATTTTTTGAGGTGCCTATGAAATATACATTCGGACCAATGTGCGTATACAGAAAAGTCACTAATGTATTAAATCATTAACTCTATTGATTACCTTGGGCCAATGTGATAGAAATTGGGGATAATAATGTAATGAAACAGAGTTCCTAATCCCAAGTGACTTATATTCTGTCACACAGAAAGAGAAAACAAACCAATAAGTGATTTAACATCATGTTGAAAATATAAAAAAAGGAAGGATAAAATATTGGAGAAGTTTAGAATGGAAGGTGAGAGTGAGTTCAGAGTCACCGAAGTCTACAGTGGAACCCAGGCAACACCTTTTCTGCATTTCACTGTTTCAAACTTAGTTCTGTCAGTGTGCAGTTCCTTGAATGAGCAGTGCTCACCCGTGGGACCAGGAAGAAGACCCCTTACTACACTCTAGCGCTGAAACTGGAGTGTCTGGTGTTGCAAGTCCCAACATCATCCAGGCCCACTCAGAAAGATCCGGAGAAGGCCTCCCCCACTTCACACGGTTCCACAGGCCCCACCATCACTCAGGCTTGCTGCAGAGACCAAGGAGAAGGCATCTCTGTACCCTACAGTTCTGAAAAAGTGGCCTGAAGACAGACCTGTGGAAATCCACTTTGGTTTCCAAGTTACGCTAATATCTGCATAAACTGTTGCAGCGAGAGCAACCAGGCACTGCTACACACTCTAACATTGATTACAGAGAAGAAGTTGCTGTGTTTTTCTGGGATCATTGAGAATCGAAGTCAAAACATTACTAACACTCACATTCCATAGAAACAAACATGTATCATCCATAAACAAGGAACTGTAACCAGATGCACAGCTGTCGGCATGGGGAACAGGCAGCATTAAGGAGCAAGGTAGCATGATGCCTCCCAACAAACAAAACCATTCTCCAGAAACAGGAGAGTGGAAAGAAACCTGGGAGGTGGTTCAAACAACTCTAAATAATGATCCTGAGGAAACACAGTGAGATGTGAGAGAATACAGATGGATTATTCAAGAGAATGGGGAAAATAATGTATGCTCCCTCAAAGTAATAAAGACATGATAGAACATGATAGAACGAAGACAGTGATATCATACCAACTGGGGGAAACTTCAAAGCATTTCCTCTCAAATCTGAAACAAGAGAATAATTTTCATTTTCCCTATTCTTAATTCTATATTAGAAACATTACTAAGAATAATTAGGGAACAGAAAGAAATAAAGGGCATTGAAACTGGAAACAGGAACTTAAAATATCCATGCTTGCATATAGCGTGTTAAAATCTAGGCACAAGCAGAAGTAATGAAAAGATATTCTTGTGGATGAACTAGAAAATTAATTTTCTCAACATTTTTGTACTATCCAAAGGTATCTACAAATTCATTGCAATCCTTACCAAATATTGATGATGGTTTTGTCAGATTAGATTATGTGAGCTTCAGAAGCTTCTGCTGCCCAAGAAAGCAGCCAATAAAGTGAAATGACATCCAACAAAATGGGAGAACCTATCTCCAGGGCACTGATCTGTCAAGGATTAATACTCAGTGTATGTCAAGAACTCAATAAATTCAACATAACAACATAGGCATAAACGGCCAAAGAACATGGATGAGACCATTCTCAGTAGAAAACATACAAATGACCAGCACATACATGAAAAAAATTTCTCACTATAATTTCTTGTCAGGGAAATGTCAATAAAAACAACAATGTGACATCATTTTGCCTTTTATAGTGGCCATTATAAAAATACAGAATTATAATTTACAGTGAGGTTGTGGAGAAAGGGTAGCTCTTATAGACGTTTGATGGGCAGGTTAGGTTACTATAGTCAGGTTGGAAAACAATATGATGTTTTCTTTAAAATCTGGAGATGTGATCCAGCATCCCACTGCTGGATATGTATGCAAAATACACGGGCTCCTATAAAAAGAGACCCTTGCTTCATGTTTATTACAGCTCTGTGCAAACTGCAAAAATATGGAATTAGTAATGGTACCCAGATGAGTTGACAAAATACATAATATACATACACTCACATACACATAGTGACATGCAATTCACCCCAAAAGATGAAATCCTATCATTTCCCAAAAAATGGATGAAATGAGAGGACAGCATGTGCAGTGAAAAAAAGCCAGGCAGCAAAGACGAAAGCTCCACGTTTCTCCCTCCTATGTGGAAGCTAGAAACAAACAAACAAAAATTGGTTTTACAGAGTAGTCATTAGTAGAAAGCTGGAAGCAAGGAGGAGGGAAAGCTAGAGAAAACTGGGATACCAAAAGTGGATACCAACTGAAAATATATGTGTCAGGGGTTATAAGCCACAGTGGGGAGACCAAACTTCATAATACACTAACATATAATGTGTGAATATGTGTAAACTACATAATATAGTAAAATGTATATATGAATATTTGGCACATCTAATGCAGTATATATATAATATATAATATAATAAATTAGGCTATAATGTAAGTATATATATGACAAAAGAAGCTCCAAACCTTTAATAATAAAATCATGTCATCGGAATGAAGATATTAATTATCCTGTTTCAATCAGCACATTTATCTTGTAGGTACTGAGGCCTATAAGCATTTACATGTAGCCTATAGACATGAAAATCAGTGTTCACAGAAAGTACAAAAGTATCTAAGAAACAGAAATAAATCTGTGGTTTCACATGTGCTGTTTCTTGGTTTTTGGAAAGAGCAATTTTGTTCAGCATTTTTTGACATGCATTATGCATTTTCTCTACAGCCTGCTCCGCTTTGGGTTCTGACTCACCGTTCCAGTGAAGTTATCTCCATGATTGCTCTATTCGGTGGTTATTTTTCAGTAATCTTGATCCATGTGTCAGTTGTCTCTCATCCTATGACTTCTGCAAATATTCTCCTTTGCTGTCTGTGACATGAAATTGTCTCAGCTTTCTGCCTTTCTTCCCAGGAGTTCCATGCAGGCATTTATGTGACTCAAGTACTCAATGTTGAGTTTCTGAAAAGCTAGTTCTTTGCTCCATAACCCTCAGACTCTGCCTAGATGATTACACCCATGTTTTTAGGCTTTACAACGCACTGATGGAGGAACGACTCTCAGATTTTCGGCCCAGCCCGCACCTGACTTACAAGCATTCGATAGTTGTAGTTACTGCTCCTGGCTGATTTCATTCTGCCTCCAGATATCTCGCACTAACTTCTCCAGCTGCTTTGCTGTGCGGACAACAGTTTGAGCTGTTGCAGTTTAATGCTTTTGTCATCTACTCACATCAGAATCTTTAAAAAAAAATCCTTGAAATTATTAACAAGTTAACTTGTAATAATGAATGAAATAGCGATTCTTATTAACTATAAAATGCAATTACTCTCAAATTCATCCTCATTGCTCCAGATCCTTTGCTATTAGTCTAGTCCAGGCCAAAGTTCAACTCTGCCTTAGACTATGTCACACCCTCCTCTAATCTCACATCCTCTCTAGTTCCTGTTCACATCAATGGTCACTGTAGCCGAACAATCCTGAGGAACCATAGCCCCTAATCTGATCTTCCTGTAGTTGATGACCGAAGTCTAAATCTTTAAGGGAGAGTTCACGTATGCATGGTCTGGTGTTTTCTTGGTAATTCCCTTGAACTTCTCTTGCTATTACTCTTCCTGCTAATTATTTTTCCTATTCTTTGAATGTCTTCATCATGGGCTTTCTCTTCTGTCGTAATTTTTTTCCAGTTCTATTTCTTCCTGTGATACCAGTTCATTGCACATTTATTATTGTTGCTTCTTTTGAAACATAGTTCAACCGTAGCTTTCCCAAAACAGGCTTTCTGATACACAGACAAGACTATAGAGCTTCCATGGTGTGCTCTCTCTGTGTGTACTGAACTCCTTTATAGGACCTCTCTGAGTGTCGCTTACTCACTGTTTGTCTTCAACATCTGCCACTGTCACTAGCAAACAGCGGTTGGCCTGTGATCGTTGAGTGAAGACACAGATATAAACGTATGATTGCCCAAAACATATATTTTTAAAATAAGACATTTAAAGAGGTATTCACGTGCGAAAGTAATACAAGAAACTCTAGAAAAATGTGTAGGAAAGTTTTAATAGTTTTATTCCCACTGAAGAGATTTCAGATAAATTATTTCTTTTTTTTCTCGATTTATCTGGCCTTTTTTGTTTAATGAAATTCAGCATGCATTTGATGATGTCAAACATGCTTCATAGAAATACAGCAAAAATGAAATGGCCTTTTTAAAAACAATGACAGTTTTTGCATTTTTGGTTAATTGTAATTTTTACAGTTGCTATTGTTTTATTTTACTACTATTCTTTGAAAGCTTTCGATCCCATGCCTTTTGCAATCAATCTCTTTCTTGTCTCCCATGACACAATCCCTTTCTTTCACGCCTATCGCTATTCACACACTCTTTGTGCCTAATGTTTCTTTGTTCAAATTTTTAATGTTTTAAGTTCTCAAGACTCAGACCTGGGTCCGACTGCTGTCCTGAAGATGAACAAAAAGCTCCTACTACTGACATGAGAATTTTAACAACATACAGTTCCCTTGAGACCGGAGACTTGTTTGTCTCATTTTGGAATTTCCTTTTTTTGGTCACAGCATTTATCTTTCTGCCTCAAAAGGATTGAATGGTCAGTGGTCTATGAAGCTTATATATACAACTGATTGATTTGATCACTACAGATGAAAATGACACCCATGGAGACCTGTGTAATTAAGAAGCTTAGATCACAAATGACCACAGGCAGAGGTTAGAGATCAGAGATGAATCATCAAGTCATGATGCCGATTGAGGGATGTGGTGGTGGGGCGACAATGTTAGGACTGAGAAAAAGAAATAAGAATGACGAAAGAATCATCTTTTCCTTGCTTCCCATAAAGTTACAACTGCAACTGTGTAACATTAGGAGATGTGATTAAGCAAAAACAAGAAAAATGGTTTGTGCAACCTTAGCATTCCTAGTTTGGGGAAATGTATTCAACTTTGTAATATTTATTTGAATTTCTATTTATAAAAACTGAGACTACACTCTCCTCTAGTGTTTTATCATATACTTCTTTGATACATAAGTTTCATTCTTAAATATTTTTCTAAGTCCATAATATCAATAAAATTAATTAAAGTTTTGTGAAATTATATATATACTTAGTTTCTTAGCTTTAAAATTAGTTAATTGTAGTCAAAAAGTAAATAAAAACATTTGTGAAATTTTAACAGGCACAGTAAGACAAAATTACATATTAATGAGAATTTTAAAAAGAAATAGAAATTGCTTTGCTATAGAAACATATGAATGAAAATTTATACTCATATTAAAAGATGCAATGAAACTGATGTTTTTGCTTTGCACATGTGTAAATTAAACAGAAACAAGTGTCTTAGCAGTTATACTATGGACTACAGTTCTATGCTTTCCAATTTCTTTAAGGACATCTCATGAATTAAAGAAGGCTCTTGAAGATAGAAGAGCAATGATTTCTGAAATTTTCCCTTCTTGCTTGCAGAAATATATTGTTGGATCATTTCATTTTAACAGAGATAAATGTTAAATACTAAATTTACTTGTTAGAATGCCTTAAGATATTTCGGTAGTACACTATTGTCTAAACATTATTTAAATCTTACATATGATTACTCCATATAATAGAAATTTCAATTTTTTCTGCAAATATTTACATGTCTTTAAATAAATTTACTTGCCATTTTTGCTAAAATAGGAAAGGCACAAGGCACCAGAAAATATAGTAAATTCTTCTAATAAACAGTGTTTGTCAATAAGAGTAGATATTTAGTAGGGAAAAAAGGAAAATTTAGTCAACTTTTTACCTACTTTTGCTGTTTTACATTGACTTGTGAGCAGTTCACTTAAACATTATTTAAAACTTTCAATGCTCTTTGGTTGCTGATGAAAGAAACCTGACAGGAAGCCCAGTGCTATTTCTGTGTGGTGAGAGATGTGAGTGGCTGACTTGCAGCCAGGATTACTTACCATTCTGCGGAAGACCTGCTCCCCAGACAGAAGCTCTGCCAGCAGCTGAAGACAGACCCGGGCTCAAGGCTGTGCTGCTGGACATGGCTAGGGAAGACTGATTTGCATATCATGCAGCTATGATTAATAATTCAGAAGTCCAGGAATATTTATTCAAACTTCAAGTCAGAAATGAGAGGGTGGGAGAACTTCTGCAAAGCGTGAGAGAAAACAGCTGATTCATTTTTTGTACAAAACACGGGTAACAAACACAGCTTTAAAAAGAATGTTGTAGAAGTTGTTTTTTTTTCCAGCTCTAAAATAACAAGAAGCATTTCTTATTTTCATATTAATTTGAGTATATAGATGATAAGAAATGATAAACACTATTCACAACGGATATACAGATGCTCCTGGCATTTCGTCGTTTTTTTTTTCAAATGCAAATTTTTGTGGTATCTATGTAAGCAATCACTAAGCTGCTGTTTGAACTACAAAACTAATTTCGTGGAGACAGGCCTAGATTTACACTCTGCGAGCATACTAGCAAGGGAGTAGTGGAGCCTCAGGTCTTTTCCATTTTCTTTTCTGGGCTTACACATAAAGCATACATCCGTGGCTAGGGATTAAGGAGAGAGGCACTTTGAAAGGCAGATTAAAAGGACACATCCCAGTCATTGCCCTGAATAGCTGTCCGGAAACACAGCAACACCATTTTAGATAGGAAACACACCTGACTTTTTCTGATGATTATATTAGGTTTATAGTCCAGAAAACATTCAGTCTGTTTGGTTTGAAGCATAGGGATTATGTTGAGGAAGTTCCTGACTCTGCAGGTAGCAGAAATTCCATTTGAATGCCGTATTTGAATTAGAGGCAAACACAAACCCAGAAGTCATGATCCTAGCTGCACAGTTCTTCTGCTAAGTTTCAACCGAAAGCTCAAAAACCATGCACACACATAACATGCATGTATTTATTATGTAAAGCATAGACATGTATATAATACAAATGCATTATATATGTATATATATATTTATACATAAAATATGTGCATTTAGATAAAGTTATGTCTCTGTTGTGTAGTTCTTACAATTTTCCAGGTTTTACACTAAGTACTTTCACTTGTTGAATGTTCATAATTCTCTGAGGTTGTTGCTGTTTTAAACATTTTCCTCAGTTTACAAATTTAAAATATAAGGGTCAGAGAAATTGATTAACTTTCCCAGTGGGGTTTCAGTCAATACCCTTCAATTCTGAAAGTATGCCTTCTCTAAATTTTGACTACCTATAAGACTGACCAAACCCTTGGTATACAAAATAATATGCGATTACTAATAATTGCTATATTTCAGGAATGTAGTTCTTATACACTTTCAGAAGGAAGAAAGGTTAAACTATTATTTTCAGATGTAATTTAAAAGAGCAAAGAACATTTGAGCAACCAGAGTCGGAGTTATTAGCTTTGACAAAGATTAACATGGACCTGCTTCAAATAAAGGACCCTGAACATGTTTCACAGATACCTGCTCTCAGTCTGATGGAAGACGTAGACAGATTCCTCTTTGTGGGGAGTCGGGAGTTTCCCAGAGCTTCCTCTTTCTGCTCACATCCTGACTTCCATGTCCTCCTGCACTGGTTAAGACAAACCTTGTTCCAGGCTTCTCTTTTCCACAGAACGCATACCCTAGATTGCCATTTGGAAGCCCTCTTTTCTTCCCAGCTCACTCTCCACTGAGGATCTCAGTGCTTCAAGATGCTCTCCGGTAACAGCAAGAGAGATTCAGACAGATTTAATAAAAAGAACTCTAATATGTTAGACCTTTCCATACTGTGAATCTTTGGCAGGGCATAGGAGGGGAGCTGCATTGGGATGTGGCTGTATGTTGGACAGGCATGGTCATGAGCCCGCTCCCTGTACCGTCGCATAAGTCTGGATTCCAAAGGGTTTCCTAGTGGATTTAATGCTCTCCTTTCACATTTGTAAATGAAATTTCTCATATATACTTTTTTTACAAGACACCTGATATTTTTCTTTGGCACCGGGCTCTGGAATTATGGAGCTAGTTATGAATGAGTATGAAAATCTCTTATGAAATTGTTTCTACTCAGCACCTTGAAATTTTTTTGAAACAAATTTTCTGCTTTTTTGGAAAAAAAAAATTGGATGTTGAATTTCATTGCTGAGGATGAATGCAACCTGAAAGGCAGTGAAGTTTCCAGTTTAACTTACTAAGGGGAAAAGTGGTGTGGTGGTTAAGCCCACAATAGCTGGAGACACACTGCCTCCTTTCAAATCTTGATCATTTGTTGATTTCATTTTCTTTCCAAAAATTCATGTATTTACTTTTTGGATGTGAAAGGCAAAGAGATAAAGAGAAAGAAAAAGACCACAAGACCACCCCAGCCCTGTAATGCCCCTCTCTCCACACACATAAGAGAGAGAGCTGTGCAGACCCAAAGATGGCTTCTATTCTTTCACCCTGTGGCTCACTCCCCAAATGCATACACCTGTCAGGCCAAAGCACCTGGAGTTGCATGAGAACCTTACATTTGGGTGGCAGGGGCTCAAATTCTTCAGTCACCACCTGTTGCCATTCAATGTATGCATTAACAGGAAGATGGATCAGAAGAAGAGCTGGGATACAAACCAGGCACTCCCGTAAGAGATGCTTGGGTTCCGGATGCAACTTAACCACTGCATGGGGTAAGTTTCCTTATCTGTTAAGAAACATAATGAAAGACCAGTCTCAAGGGATTGTTATGTGTATAGGAGATACATATACTGTATAGTACGGAGTATGTGTTTTGTGCTAAGTCAATGCCAGCATTATAGAAATTTATCACCTGCGACAAGAAAATGTTCAGAATGACAATCTTAATACCACCAATATCAGAACGTTGTCTACCAAGAAATATCCATGTAAAATGACCTTCTAAAAAGCCAGCATGATGATGAAAACATCAACGAGTACCTGTGGTGGCTATGCTTATTACTAATTATTTGATTTTCAAAAAGATCACACAATTTGATTTTCATATTTTCTTTTTTTAAAAGACTTATTTTATTTTTATTGGAAAGGTAGATATACAGGGAGGAGAGACAGAGAGGAAGATCTTCCGTCCGATGATTCACTCCCCAAGTGAGCACAACGGCCAATGCTATGCCGATCCGAAGCTAGGAGCCTCTTCCGGGTCTCCCATGCGGGTGCAGGTTCTCAAAGCTTTGGGCCGTCCTCGACTGCTTTCCCAGGCCACAGGCAGGGAGCTGGATGGGAAGTGGGGCTGCCGGGATTAGAACCAGCGCCCATATGGGATCCCGGACGTGCAAGGCGAGGACATTAACCACTTGTGCCACCGCGCCGGGCCCTTTCATATTTTCAAAAGGGAGACAATTCCTTAGTCCTTAAAATTCGTAATGGCCACAGTATCAAATGAGATAAAATATAAAAATATTATAGGCCAGGTTTCCAAGAACAATTCCTCTGAATAAGGGGCACTAATCAGAAAATTTAAGAGAAAAAAGGAAATATTAAATATTAATTAAGTGTAATTATAGTGCTAGTAAATCTCACAGCTTTTGAACACTAGCTCTGTGACAGCATGATTTATTTAAGGTAGTATATACTATTAATGTCCCCAGTTTTCAAAGGAAAAAAAACAAGATCTAATTAATAAATGATTTTCTATAATATCAAACCTGATATATGCGATTCCTAAATTCAAGCCTTTTACCATTATTTCACACGATAATGAAGGAAATACTAAATTATAGCATGAGATAACTTTACTAAGTATGTTCATTTTAGGTGGTTTAATAAGATATAACTTTAAAGCTCATATTAAATTCAGTAATTTGTAACAGGACATTTTAGTTAACAAATTGAAATCTGCCAACTAAACGTAATACAACGTTTTAGGCAGAACAGACTTGTTGAAAATAACGTGCAACTGGAAGGTTCTACTAGCAACAATTGGGGTCGTGTTTATAAGACACATTTCTTTCAACAGCATGGAAAGTCTGTGTGGAAACGGAGTGCCCTAGGGTCACAGTGATCTTTAAGAAATGATAAGCTGGAGAAGAGGAAGATGATCAGTCACAGACATTTCCCCTAAATGCTTAAGAGGAGACAATATTATTACAGCATTAATAATTCAAAACATTTGAAGCAATTCAAGATGACTGAATACTTGTGTGTTATGCTGGAAGGATAGAACTAATACTGCAGGAGTACTTCTTTATTCAAAGAATGGTTTATATTAAAAAAAAAAAGGACAAAATGGCAAAAGGGGAAACATGGTGAAGCTTATTTGTGTGTTGCCTATGCACTTTTGGCATTCAGAATTTTAGCTTTATTAGCCAAGTTTACCATGGAAAATAGCTCCATTCGAGGTCAACTTCTAAGCTGTGGAAAAGCAATCCTTTTTTCTGTATATGAACATTTACATCTTTGTCATTTAAATTATACTCATAGTGCAAAATTTTGTTATTTCTCTATTTCCTTGACACACAATTGTACAACAAACCTATATGTTAGGGTTGGATACAGCCCTATTTCAGTTTTTCAAAGTGTTTTTAAAGAACATTTATTTGAAAGGCAAAGTGTGGCAGACAGACAGAGTGAAAAGATAAAACCTTCCACCCACTGGTTCATACTCTCGTGGTCACAGTGGCTGAGATCCAGGAGCCAGCAGCTTCATCTGCATCTCCCATACAAGTAGCAAGGGCCACAGCCCTTTAGGCCATTTTTCACTTCTTTCTCAAGCACATTAATAGGAAGCTAGATAGGAGATTAGCAGCTGGGACTAAAACTGCTACTCATATGGCATGCTAGTGCTTCAGACAGTGGCTTCACACACTAAACCATACCACTAATTCCTTTTAAAGTATTAATTAATTAACTTTAAAATGCAGCAAGTTATCTTTCACCTTTTAAGAAAATCCTACAGTTACATGCTTTTTAACAATACCTGATAAATTTCAATAACAGGTGTTTATATAAGAAATATGTTTCCCTGAGAGAAATCAAGGTATAGAAATATAATTACTGGTTGAAATAACCAATAA